ATCAAGAAATGAACGAAGTTTGCTGGGTCAACTAAAAAAGATCTTTTATTGTTGACTCCGACCACCGTAGGGCGGGCGGCGAGCTTCCCTTACTCGGGTCTGCGGATGGCGAGTAAGGGAAGCTGACCAGAACCAGAGGTTGCGGGGTAAGCGCAACGGGGGGAGGGTTAGTCTGCAGTATGAATCTGACACTCCCTCCTGCCCTGGGCGGGAGAAGTCATTTGATGATTTTAACAACCTCGTGAACGACGAGAGGGTCGCAATTTCAAAAACAATTTTCTGAATATTATACCAGATATAATGAACAAAAAAAAAAATGTGCAAAATTTGACCAGGTGTTGTTGAGTCATGTTACGTTATGTTTACCATACGCGATATAATAATTCGGCAATTCATTTTAATATTTTATAGAAAGAAAGAAAGAAAAGAAAAAAAACTTTCTTTCACACGCTATAACATGTGACACATAAGATTCTGTACATACAGTTTATAAACTACTAGTGTCCCAAGTCTGCGGTGAAATGGGACCAGTTCAGCATGTGCAAGACAAGGCCTTGAAGACTATAGAATATTAATATCATGCGCTACTCCAGAATTTACTCATGTATTGTAGGTTTGTTTAGAAACATTCGATTTGCATGTAACAAACACTTTGTATATGCAAAGACCCGGAACAATAAATCACACATAGTTTTCCGTGGAGGTATCAAACCCGCGAGACGTCGCACGTCAGTCAGTTTTCCAGCGACCGCATCAACCGTATAGGTAATTAATTATACCATTTGTTTTCATCAACTAAGAAAAACGAAATAAAAGCAAATCCATAACCGCTTAAAATAATCATTGTTACATACTACACTACATGACAGATCACATACCTAATACACAAGAATTTAGTTTGTTTAGTTTAAAATTTAAAAATAATACTCATATTAATATCATAGTTTTATTTATATACATATGAATATACCTACCAATATCAATCTAGGTTAATAAAATAAATAAACACATATTAACGTATACAACATAATTCGACTTCTATCTCTAGAACAACGAAAGGAGACTATCAGCTATAATTATTTCAAAACTAGCTACTCTCACGTGGTTTCACCCGCTGCTCGGCTCGGCTACATTTGATTGTAGCGTTATGTTTTACAGCCTAAAGCACTCAGGAATATTGTAGTTATGTATCAGTGAAAGAATATTGCCAATCCGACCAGCGGTTCCAAAGATTACCCCCTACATACAAACTTACAAATTTTACCGCTTGATAATATTAGTATAGATATAATGAAAACTCTGTTATAACCACTAGAGTCATCTCATTACAGTTGATGGGACGACATTAAGTGCTAAACGCGTGTACTAGCCGTATATATAAATAAATTACAAGTCGTATATATAGACAGGATATCGGAGTATGGCCGCCCGCCCGAATCATATCGATCGACGCTTCGGATCTCACTGCGCAGCCTCCGTTCAGCCTCCCTCTTAAGGCCAAGCCTGTAACTTCACATCGGGGACATAACTTACTCTGTTTCATGGCTTTTCTCGCTGTATTTTGTGTTGTAATCTGACTTATTCAATAGAATGATTGTCAAATCACGGCGTTTCTTCTCCATACGAATCTTAAGTACGTATAAAAAAATGGAATACGATTTTTTCCGCGTGAGTTTTAAAAATCTCTTTAAGTCTATTGAAATGAATGCTTTCGCGATAATAATTGCTGTTCAACACGGATAAGTACTAATATTTTAATTGTTTGTGATTGTATAGACAAGAATCATGTTAGAAAAGATTCAAATCAAATGGCAACTCCACGTAAATGCTTGTAATGTACTGAAATTCTGAAAATAGTTAGATTTATTGGTGGTCCGTGTCGTTCTTGCGTTGGAAAACGATTTGCTGGTTATATTATTTGTTGTGATGTTATATTTCAGTGTTAATAGCATTTAGTAGCACAACGAAAATATCATTCGTGTCGGAATAGGTGTTAATACTTATTTTATTTCAAACCACATAAACGGCTTTGTAACTAGATTTTTTGTTTGTCTAACGTCGGCAAACGAGGCAACGGTTTTGACGCCTATGGATATTCACAACAGAAGATTAATTTGCAAATGTGTTATCGGAACTTAAGAGTTAAGGGGTTTTGAGGATTAAGAGATTGGGCCTCTGAATATGGGGTTTTGGACAACGCTGTGAAATGAGCGATATAAATTGTGCAAATCTATATATATATATTAAAAGAAAGTCGTGTTAGTTACTCCACTTATAACTCAAGCACGGCTGAACCGATTTAGCTGAAAATTCGTAGAGAGCTAGCTAAGAACTGGGAGAAGAACATAAGATAGAGTAAGTAGTGTAGGTTAGGTAGAGTGGGGTAGGCAGAGTAGGGTAGGTAGAGTAGGTTAGGTAGAGTAGGGTAGGTAGAGTAGGGTAGGTAGAGTAGGGTAAGTAGAGTAGGGTAGGTAGAGTAGGGTAGGAACAGTAGGATAGGTAGAGTAGGGTAGGAACAGTAGGGTAGGAAGAGTAGGGTAGGTATTTAAATGACGGGAGCGACGCCGCGGGTAAGAGCTAGTATACCTATAAAATAAAGTCGTGTTAGTTACTCCACTTACAACTCAAGAACGGCTGAACCGATTTGGCTGAAAATTCATAGAGAGAGGTAGGGTAGGTAGAGTACGGTAGGTAGAGTACGGTAGGTAGAGTACGGTAGGTAGAGTACGGTAGGTAGAGTACGGTAGTTAGAGTACAGTAGGTAGAGTACGGTAGGTAGAGTACGGTAGGTAGAGTACGGTAGGTAGAGTAGGGTAGGTAGAGTAGGGTAGGTAGAGTACGGTAGGTAGAGTAGGGTAGGTATTCAAATGACGTGAGCGACGCCGCGGATAAGAGCTAGTACCAAAATAAAATTGTTGGTTTGTCGACTAAAAGACTAGTTATTCTTCTAGCAAATGTTGTATGTATTCCCCTTAAGCCAGCGTACTGAGTTCAATCAGCGCTCCCTTCGCGAAGTGAAGTTGTCGCTCTAAACTAAAGCGAATGTATTAAAATGTTACTCTGTGCATACCCTTAGTGCGGGTGGTGTCGTTGTGATATCTCTTATCAATCAGATAATGGTACGTACACAATCAATTTTAGATTAATCATTCAGATAACGAGGTAATAACTTAATCTCAGTATTTATTTTCAATTCATTCACTTTAAGATATATTTTTTGTTGCAATTTTATTAAAGGATTTCGAGTAATTTAAGGCGTTGTACGTTAATAAGGAAATTGTAATAAAATAGATTTAAGATGTACCTAACAAAGGGTTTTTCAGCTTCTTTGAGGGATTAGAACAAAAATTTATCCTTCTGTTAAATTCCTATGAATTAGCTAGAATGAAATTATAAAAGACGATAAAATAAAATAAAAACTTTTCGTAGCGATTTCTATGAGCAATTATTATTGAAGTAAGTAACTATTTTGACCGTTATTTGACCATCAATGGTTATATATCTAGAATTATGTATGTCTTTCTCAAAATCAGCAAGAACACAATTTTATCCTTATTCTATAGAAGCAATATAATAGTCGTAAAATATATACCATAGGGCTCGGTTTAAAATCGAATACCTAGGCGTGGTATTTATGTAGGTCAATTATACCTACCTTATTGAGATAAACGCCTTTTACAGATGTTCTAACATTAATAAATATATGTATTCAAAAAATTAATTTAAATGATATATTTGTGATTAGTTAACATTAACTCTCTCTCTTCTTCTCTACCCAAAAAGGCATGTGCCTTATATATTATAATATTAATAATGGAATGATGTGACCACCACCTCAGGGTGACGTGGATTAATGACCTGATACAGTAAGACTACTTCTTGAAACCGCTCGTATTGTTAGGAAGTTCCTGTCTTAGGAGCCCAAACCACCGGTAGCTTAGAGCATGTTACCGCTACCGGTTGACCCGTATTTATATACTAAAATTAATTTTAGAATTATGTCAATATTTATATGTAATGAAATAATGTTTAAATTATCTCAAAATGTCTACCTATCGATGCTGAGAATAAGATCTTATTTACAAAATTATAATATTAATAGACTCCACAACTTCGTACCATATCCAACAGATATTAAGGCAGAGTTCACATTTCCTTTTGTACATTTTAAATGGCTTGTAAACTAATTATTTAATCGTCTGTAAACTAAATAACACGTCATACTCGTTTTTATTTACATTTTTACGATTACAATTCAAATTTACATATTTGTGTAAGTATGTATACCTATAACAAACCTTTTTATTGCTTCCAGCTTCACTGACTGGGAAACAAAGAAAACTAAGCAGGTATATAACTAAGATGGTACTATATATTTATAATTTATTTATTTATTGTTTTGATTAACCCACTTTTGACTTTTACTTATAGTTTGTTATGAATGTATAATTATATATCATCCTCCAACACATAACTCATTGTGACTACGGCCCTGTTGAGTACCTATATAATGTTGATTGTTTCACATAGCAAATGGGATAAAATGTCATTTAAGGTATTTAACAGTAATTTTTAATATTATGAAACAGGGCCCCATAAATTACAATTAAGGATCAATAATGACTTGTAGTACAAATAATCGCTTGAAGGACAAATAATTGTTTGTTGACAAGTTATTATTTGTAGGACATAATTATACGTAACTATTGATTAACAAATAATTACAATTATCAATTAATTGATTAACAATTAACTAATAATTCTAATTATTTGTTAATCAATAATTTATTTATAATTATGTATTAATAATTATGTATAAATAATTATTTGTAGGACAAACGATTAACTGTGTACTAGCACAAGTAGTTTTTAGTGTAGTAGTTTAAAAAATCATACGTTGCCAATTTAATTATTGATTAAATAAACTACAGCTTAACTATCATATAACCAGCTTAACTATAATATATTTTTAAGTGTGAGAGAGCCATGCTTCGGCACGAATGGGTCGGCTCGACCGGAGTGATAGTGAAGCTTCACAGAAAACCGGCGTGAAACAACCACAGTGTTGTGTTTCGCCGTGTGAGTGAGGTTACCGGAGGCCCAATCCTTCCCCTTCCCAATCCCTCCCCAGTTCCTAAATCTCCAAATCCTTAATCCCTAAAAGGTCGGCAACGCACTCGTAACTCCTTCGTTGCAGGTGTCCATGGGCGGCGCTGATTGCTTACCATCAGGTAATCCGTTTGCTCGTTTGCCGACTTATTACATAAAAAAAATAAAAAGAACCATAACTGTCTGTTAATTGAAAAAAAAATATATATAAAATGACACAAATAATTAATTAGTTTCGTATATATCCTTGATGACCATTTCGAAACTGTGCACTAAGAGAAAGAAATATATGATTTAGTGTGGCATCATAATAATACATATTTAAATAGTGATGCGGACCCTAGCAAGAGTCATGATTTCATTACCTGTTAGTCAGTAACCCAATACAATGCTTATCAAAATGTATAGGTAGATATAGTACATCATCCCAATAGTTATCAATCATTTATGAGTAGCTTTCCACCCGCGGCGTTTTATTTCCATTCTCTTACGCCCGGTTTCCGAAAGGTCGATCAATGTTAAAATCAATTTAATCTCTTTCAAGTCATCTGATTAGTTGACAAGAGATTTAACAGGAGATTAGGTATCCGGCCCAAAATCATACTATGAAAATACTTTGTTTTGACTGAAGAGAAATAAATAAAAAAACACATTATCACATTTATAATAGAACTAGTGACCAATGCTGCAATACTGATACTAAATATCTCCAATATTTAATGGGTAATATTATACATAATAATATGAACCATCTTCTTCAATCAATTTATCTATTAAAAAAACCTCATCGGTTGCGTAGTTTCAAAGATTTAAACATACATACATAGGGAAGAAGCGTGGGAGAGCCAAGCTTCGGCACGAATGGGTCGATTCGACTCAGAGAAAACCGGCGTGAAACAACCACCGAGCTGTTTCGCCGTAGTAGTGAGTTTACTGGAGCCCAATTCTAACCCCCATCCTTAAACCTCAAACTCCTTATCTTAATAGGGATTTGACCATCACTGATAACCCACAAGAGGCCAGCAATGTATTTGATTGCTTACCATCTGCCTGATGATCAATCTGCTCATTTGCCGACCTGTGACATAGAAAATCCTTATATGAAGTCGGTTCATAAATAAGAACGATAATCAAATAATTTATACAGTGGAGCTATTTTCTCATCCCAAGATATTTATTTCTATGAATTAGAACAATCAAGAAACTCCATTGTTACCCTTTTATTTCAAATATTTTTGCGAGCATCATGATATTGGTGTAAAGCCTTTTAATTAAGTATATATTTCAGCAAGTTTTGTTAATGTTTCAGGCCAGGATGGAGCTCCCAGTTCTAGACAAGTTCTGTTTCGTGTTCGATCTGAAGACAGGATGCATGGTCATGGGGTTAGCCAATACTGTAAGTTTTTAATTTTAATCACTCACACTCAATCACATAAAAAATACACGTGAATACATGGGAGACACACACACACACACATACAAAATAATACATGAGAGCGTGAGTTCAGAAAATATCATATATACTGTGAAAGAATAATAATATAATTCCATAGTTATCATGTCTACTAGTCCATAGCAACTTACACCCATATTCATATAATTTTCTGCCATATTGCAATAGTCCTGCATCAACCGGGGATTGTCCTTGGGTGCACTTTCATAGCGCATAAAAAGATAATTTCCGGCTGATATCCCATCATAAATAATGATCATAAATAAAATTAAAGTTGTTCAACGGGCCATTGCGAGTTGGCTTCGGCCCCTCGTATCTCCAATAGTCCGGGACTCTGTGGTCCCGTGAATGGAAGAGATAATAATACATAACTCCACTGAAGTATCTTTACGATGACGCTGTGGTGGGGCTTAGGGACTAACCCTTAGTCCTATGTCGGTTTAGTTTTCTTAGATCGAGTTTTTTTTTTTGAGGGGAAAATCATCAAATGACTTCTCCCGCCCAGGGCCGGGCGGGAGGTTGTGTCAGATTCTTACTGACTAAAAACCCCCCTGTGCCTTCTCCTGCTCTGGGCCGAGGTCGCAGTGCCTCATTGCACTTACCCCGCAACCCCGGCTTCTTAGATCGAGATAGGATTGAGGCTAATGGCCTGACTAAACGACACACAACCCAAGCCAAGGTTACTTACGCCGAGGGCTGAGTGGTTGAGGGGGCTTTATCGCTAGTATGCCAACTCTGGAACCTGAGTGACCTCCGCTTTATTTACCCTTGCCACAGTGAACGCAGGGCTCTGCTGTGGTCGACGTGTTTAGTACCTAGCTACTACCCATCGTGCCAATGTTCGATAGCGGAACTGTAATACGAGCAGTCCGCCCATCATATACTCTGGACCTTGTGGAATATAGAACAAACCGTGCATTTAGGAGTGTTTGCCATACCTATTACTGGAAACAACTATAGCATCTTACACATAGGTCCCATTACAATTACAATACAAATAGCAAGGTTCATATTGAATATTTTTAACGAAGTGTTAGGCGGGTATTTCCTACCTGACTAAAAACTCTGAAACAAAAATATTAGTACATTGGTATGTTTACTTTCTGAAACAATCTGATTAATGTCTTTGAATCAATGGTAATACAGTAATTATCTAGTAGGTAGTAGTTAATCAAAAATATGTTAATTACATAACCAAATTGATTACAGTATTTGCAGTGTACGTGAAGATTCGAGACAGCACTTTGTGTTCCAAATAATGTGATAAGTTTAGACAAATAACTTATTGATACAATCTAGATTATTTTATGTGATAGGGCGGCAATCGAGTCAGGTCACCTGGTGGTAAATAATTGGTGTCGCTCATGAACACAGATGGAGTTTAGGTATTTGGGGACGGGGGAACGAGGAGGTTTGGGCCTCTGGTAACCTCACTTACTAAAAGGAACGCAAACGTTGTTTCACGCCGGTGGTACGGCCGATTCGGGTCAGCAAGGGGTTCTGTTTTTCGTGATTTAAATATTGTCATACGTGGCTTCGCCGCTAGCCGTTCAAAAACCTATAAGCATTACTTTTCAGTTTTCTAACCATATACAGACAAAAAAAGCATTATTAGAACTTAGATTAAAAAGGATTTGTTAAAAAAACCTAATTCTGTTATACAGTTAGTCACGTAACTGTCTGACAAGACTAATTCTGTTACTAGACTAATTTCAACCCACGCTCGGGCTCATAATCATTAAAATAATATTGATTGCTCTTAAAGCCGTGAACCTCTAGTTCCCCAAGGCGATGTTTAGCGGGGGCTGCGACACCGACAATGAGGCACCGTGGCCTCGGCCCAGAGCAGGAGAAGGAACGGGGGTGTTTTAGTCAGTAAGAGACCGATACTCCTTCCCGCATGACCCTGGGCCATGAGGAGTCATTTGATGATTTTCCCCTCAAAAAATAAAACCCTGGTTGTTTATCCGAATTTATCAATATTGGCAGGGGCAGGAGCTATAGTATTGCCATAATTAACGCATCTGCCAGTCCATAGCAACCCACACCCATGTTCATATAATTTCTAAGATATTGCACAATAGTCCTGCATTAACCGGTGATTGTCCTTGGGTGTACTTTCATAGTGCATAAAGGGATAATTACCGGCTGATGTCCCATCAAATCTAAATTAAAGTTGTTCAAAGGGCCTTTATGAGTTTTATTTCGACAATTCGTATGCCTTTCATAGGTCCGGGACCCTGTGTTCCCGTAAATGGAAGAGATTATAACATTAGAAAGGTCACCGGTGAAGGAAAACATCGTGATTAAACATGGACTACTGAATTTCTAATTATAAGTTTGAAATCGTCAATCCGCCTTAAGCAAGCGTCCCGAGCGTACGACGCGTAGCGTTCCGCGCGCGCCTCAAAGAGCCAATAGACTAGTCAGTAACAGTCTGACACTCTGTCCGGGCGGGAGGGAGTGTGGGAGAAGTCATTTGATGATTTTCCCCTAACAAAAAAAAACCTTGAGCAAGCGTGGTGATTAATATTCAGACCGCTCCTTGTGAGAATAGGTCTTTGCTAAGAAGTGGGCACTTAAAGACTGATGATGCGATGTAAAGGTCTGACTTAATCTCCTGTCTTCCAGATCATAACCTTCGTCCTGACGCTGCTGCTCATAACGTTTGCAGTGAACATCAAAGACATATCGGAGGCGCAGATGAAAAGGGATGATGTAGAGTACGCCATGTCTTCAGTGGTGTACACTATCGTGGTCCTTTTGATCGTGCTACTCGTGGTGAAGTTCCTTTTGGATTTGGTCTTCGTGTACGCAGTATATAAGGTAAGATTACTTTTGTAAAAAACCTTGGCAATAAATTAATAACATTATCATAGTACAGAAACTTTGCAAAAATTAAAAGTAGGTTACAGCCTTAGTTTTAAATTACAAATACCATTAAAAGACTCCCGTCTCCACGAAAATGTTCAGGACAAATTCTCCGCTAACGTCAACGAAACAAATCTTTAGGTATAAGAGTATTGCGGGTCTGATCCCGCAAGTAATGATTCTTAGTGTGGTTCACAAATCAGTGTTGTTGTTGTTGTTTCGGGCAGTGTTATTGGTCCGGATTTAATTTGTATGTGTAATCGTTTGAAATGCACTCATGATACCTACGGGAAGAGAACCTAGAGTGGCGCCACTTAAAACACTCCTTTTTTTGGGCAGTCGTGTAAAAAGGTTATACAAAAATATAAACAATCGGTAATCAAAATAATGTCTTTCTTTGCAGGAAAAGTGCAGCCTCCTGAAGAAGTACTGCATCTTCTGGATCATTTTCCTTGTCCTGTACATCATTGGCTTCCTGAAGACTCTCTTCCACATGGACGCTGGTCATGTCATCTCTCAGATAATCTTTATAGGTAAGTTGAAGAGTGCTATCAATTCTCCTCCGAATGCCAGACCAGGAACACATTTTTTTAAACTGGTTTAACTGCTGATTGCTTACCATCAGATCATTTACCGACCAAAAAATTCAAAACCTCTTTCCTGATTGTAGTGTGTCACTGGTTGGGCACAAAGGTCATATGGACATTTTTTTTCCAGAATACGACGAGGTCGTTCTTTTTTTAAATTGTATACTGAAAAAGCATTTAATAAAGCTTTCTCTTTTCAAAATTTTCAGCTGAAAACTTCTACTTCATCGTGGTGATTAGGAGCTATTTGATATCAATAAACGAAGACGGTGTTCTGTAAATAGTTCCTTTTATTATCAACAATTCTCAGACAGATCTACCAAATGTCCTACCAAAATAAAAATAAACAATCCGGGGTAAGGAATCCAAAACAACTATTTGGAAAACATATTATTTTTATTTCTTTTCGTAAATACATACGTAAAGAGATTCTTGTAACTCCCTTTACTAATTTTGTAAAGCTCGAATAGAATTATAGGAAAAAATATTCTTTAAAATGTATGTAATCGAGTTTAGCAAATTGTACCGATAGATGGCGATCTAACGCATAGGAAATCAATGTGTAAACTTGTATCGAATAGATTGTTGATATATATACATCTAGATAGAATTATACATATCAAGGATTATCTTTCTCTTATTTGTTTACAAACAAAGCAATTTAACAATTTCTCAGACGGTTGAAGGAAGTAAGTACGAATGTAAGGATTGTAAAAGAAACAACTGAATATTTATTTCAAATGAATGAAAAGAAACAATGTTAACGGACCAAAATATACAGAAACTCTGTATAATCATCATCATCTTTAACAATTTATTTTGTTAACTATGTATTGGCTATCTGCGCGGCAGTGGCGACGTGTAGCGTTTGCATCATTTGCGGAAGCTGTCAAATAATAACAATGTAAACAATAATATTTTCTTTGCAAATATAAATAAAAACAAAGATTAAAATAGTATGGTTGACATTATTTAAGTGCAATTTATTCAATAGTTTTACTGTAAAATGAATATAATAATAAAAACCGACAGCTGATCATCGGCATTGGTTTCCAATTTCTGCCGTGTTGTGCGCTGCGGTCGTTACCCGTCCGCCACTACTCGCTTTGCACATAGCCAATAATTACGCATTATAAGTTATATGCTGCAATAAATTATTCTGTGAACTGCCATGCCAATGAGCTGGGTAAAATGGCGCCAACTATGGCGTGTTGTCTATAATAATGTTATTTTCGTGTAATGAAAAATTGTTATGCTATGAATTGTTGAGTTACATGTTGCTATTTGATGTTATTTGTATAGTTTTTATAATGAATCTATTATATTTATTGTATTCATTTTAATAATCCTTTTAAAATAAAATGTAATAGGCACACACAGCTCCCGGTCTGGAAATGAATTGATTTATTTTTAAATATTTACAACAAAACATTTACGACTATTCCTAAATAATTCGTCCCAAAGCAATAGGATTAATAAAGTCTAATTATTTAAAAGGTGTAACAAAATAATGATAATTATCTGTGGATCTAATTTTGGACTGGGAGTTTATAAATTATGAGATTATATTTCTTGTTATATAAATTATATATTTATATAGTTTATTCTGGTTGTGATGAACTTCCGATTAATTGTTTTTTATGTGTATATTACTGAGATTGTAAAAATGTATAGTAAAATGTTGTTTTATATCATTTTGATATGAAGATTTGTCTTCCATTTTGTAGGTTTAAGTGATCTTCATTTGTTGTGAAGTTTGGAATTATATTATTATGTGTTAAGGCTTGATTCTGTTGTTGGCGAGAATTTTTCTATTTTTTTTTTTTTTTGATGCAATTGTGTCATGGATATTGGGTTGAATATAAACATGTTTATTGATTTCGTTATAATGTCTTGTATATTTTTAAATTAATTAACTAAATGAAAGTACATCTACTCTCGCCACCAACCGACTTACGATGTATGCATAGAACAACTTTCCTTAAAAACCGACTTTATTGTACTTGATTAGCTTTTAATTTTGTAAAACACATAATACATATTTGTAACGCGGCTAAAATATTTTACTTAATATTGCGTAATATATTTTATCACAACTTTTTCAATAATTATTTATTGTTGAAATATATCTGTACATCTTTTCTTATTCAATATCAAAAACAATAATTTTTGGAAACATTTAAATTGAATAATACATTATACATTTTTATTGACATTTTAATAACAACTGAGATTCAGAATTGTAATATAAGTATACTTGGTAATATATAAATCTATTCAGAATATATTTGATATAATTTATGTAATTTGGACATATATAAATTACGGGGTATAGGGTTTTGACGAAAACGGAGCTTATCAATTTTATATTGCACGCAAATACATATCTATTTATATCATTGCACATTAAGATTGTATTTATTTTCATATAAAAGGGCGTTCAACTACAGATTACAGTTTTGACATATATAAACAATAATAAAATATCATAATTGATGTTAAGCCAACAATTATTTCATCTTACAAGATTTTTTTTAATCTAGTGGGTTAATTATTTTATAGTTTGTTTATTTTTTATAATATTTAATAAAATGCTATTAATAGTTGTCTTGGACAAAATAGGTTACATTTATTTTACAGTCCATTTAAGAACTATACATATAAGTCCAGTTTTTATAATGTTAACATCAAAATCGGAGTATAAATTTATAAAAAGAGTAAATGAGGCAGTTTTGATTTTCTAACAAAATATTATATATAACTTGAAACAAACGTAAACAATAACATATTGTAATAATGTGTTTAAAATAACATCTTTTTTTTATTATTATTATTACATTAGATTTTTTTTTAATTTTTTAAGCATTATAAGCAAGCTTTTCGATCTATAATTATTATTAAAAGTTTCAACTGTAGACACCTACAGCAGCTTTACTGATAATAACTTAAGAAATATGGTTCAATAATTGTTAAGCTAATATCAATCTACTGACACCGTGGTTGGGCCCATATTTGCGAGAACAGTATCTTACAAAATTTCTACCTGTTTTTATTTATAGGAATCGTCCGATATGATAAGGTGAACTCGCGAGACCACACAAATACTTGAAAATATTCATTCATTATCTCTTTTTTTAAATTTTATATACCTGTATATTTATTGACTAATGCCAAGCGTGTGGAGAGTTTTAAAAATTGCATTTGGCTCCATACCCGCTTTGTGTAATGCAATTACAGCGAATCGGTTCTCTGTATCATCCCACTCCATTTTAATATCGCAAAATATTGAACAATTTATTGGCGCCAAAATAAGAAAACACAATGAAAAATTTTATAAAAATGAAAGATTCCAAATTCAAATGTAATATTTTGTTTATTTTTAATTGTAACAGTATTTATGGCCAGACTATGTATATTTTAGATATTGGTGTACATTATATATATTAAACAACGATTCTTTATCTGTCTGTGTGGATCCCCTTACGTGTAATAATAGGTTAGTGGGCGATCCAATTTAATGGTGTAATAATTAGCTGTGATTGTTCTAGTACCCATAAACTCAGTGATTGTAATTGATGGGAACATTTTGTATGAAAACTTACATGAGACGGATTCAATTAATTATTATTTTTACGGCTTATTCGTGGTATGTTAAACTGATTCTGCGTCGATATGGGGTTCGAAGTCGCAGACGAACAAGTCACGAGTGCGAGCGAGTCAAGGCAGAGACGAAATTCAAGCAGACAGTTGCACGTAATGCTGTTCATGAACATAGGTAAGCCCCTTACATTGGCTTGAAACTGGTTGAATTATCTCGTCAAACATTTTCGTGAGTGAACTTGAAAGAAAACCGGCGCGAGACAACCACAGCGCAAGCACAATATAATTAACAAAATGGCAATATTGTGCTTGCGCTTATAAATCGTAAAAACCACATATATATATATAGCGAAAAAAATACACAATATAATTATATATTTATTTACTGTATTGTATTAATAATACAATAAAATCCAGGAACAATGATAACAAAGCTTTTTAAAATCATATCATTTGACTGACCATTTCAAGTACTGAGTTAAAAATATTACAATAAAAACTATTATTCTGATTTCATGTAACGATACAAAAATAATGCTTAGAACTGTATAAATTAGATACATGGATGTGTAATTAATGTGTGTAGGTACCAAATAAACTAAATAACGACAATAATACGTCCTTCGCTTTAATTAGCTAATAGAGTATTGTATTCCTGTATGACCTGTCCACTGTTGGGAAGCAAATAGATGTATACACCACAAAATATATATAATTATATGTTTACACACACATACACTGCATTATATAATTATATATGTTTAAAATTTTCTTTTAGTACCTATCTATTTCGTAATCTGAAATTATATTATATAATAAATTATATTATATTGAAATTCAAATTTAATTATAGAATTGTACGTCGTATTATGTTTACAATGTTACACAAAGGGCTGATTTCTCAATAGTCAGATAAATGTTATCTGAGGAAAATTGTTGCTGTCACTGTCTTATACAAACATTCTGACGCGACAGCATCATAATTATTCCCCAGGTAACTTTTATCTGACCATTGAAAAATCAGCCCTAAATTGTTATTATTTTTTAATAAGTAATTATTTTTGTAATAATTTTAAATCTATTTGCTTCACCAAAAACCTCAAAATATGAGAATCCCTTGAACATTTTTCATTATTTTTAGTAAACTGTCAGTATTTACAGGATTGAAGAGTATAATCTATATGTAAAAGGGTTTTCTTATATTTTATACTAAATCTTTATAATATTTACCTACATATTGTAACTTGTACTTCCCCTTTACAGTGTACTCTAATTATTTGTTAGTAAAGTTTTATAATAAATGTATTTATTATTATTGTGTAGTGTGGGCTTATTCATATTGGACCTATATATAAAATTTATTATCAAGTTATTTTACCACATTAAGCGTTTATTTCAATATCTTAACTGCATCAGGAAAATCTATGTTGCATTTTGGTTTTTTAAAATTACGTTCCATATTCAAATTTACGATACGCAAAGGTAATTGATAATAAGTAAATACTCCATGGTTGAAACAGAAACAATATGACGAGAAAATCATTGTTACACTTACTTATTTATTTTAAATAATTATATGTATTACGTGGTTCATTTTAATAAATGAAAGGGGCATTGAACACCACGATAACACTAAAACATAACCTTATTTCTGGATTATCTGTGTATCTGAGGTTTAGC